TGGACCTTTAATCAGATGTTAGCACTTAATGAAATAAGGCAGATTTAGGTACATTATATGTTTTGATCAAATCCAGCAAACACTAAAATGTATTTTATAATTTAATTTGCAATTTGAAAGTAGTCTTTCCTTTTAGCCATCCAAGTGCCAGATTACATAAAATTCATGTATTAATAAATAATGTCATGTATGTAAAAGTGTTTTATGTATTGTAAAAAACATTATGCATATGAAATTGTAAAACATTTTAGTTATCATTATTCCATATGTACCAACCTTCCTCTATTTCTACCTGAGCATTTAACACTTGGGCATAAGCTGGTTATAGAGGATCTTAGACTAGCCACCTTCTTTCCTGACTCTAGAATAATTCTTATCAAGAAAATTTTGCCAAGTAGAAGTTAAATATTATTCTCATTTTCTAACTAGCAGTTTTTAACAGACAAAAAAAAATCAATGCCATTTCCTCAACAGCAAATTATATTCCACTTCTGTACATTAGAGCACTTTTCTTGGAGTTGATAAATAAGAAAAAAATACTGATGGTCATTTAACTTACTAGAATTTACTTAAATGAACTGACAGAAAGAACCTAACTCTTAAAATAATTGATTTTTCTCTCCATCAGATGAAAAATGTACAATAGAGTAAATGAAAGTCTTTTAAACAAAAGTAATTTTCTATTCATTAAAGAAAACATAAAGTACACTTATCCAAGCCTTTGGAAAAAGTTACTTGCAAGTTATTAACCTATTTTAAAGAAATACTTTTTAAATAGTGTTCAGAGCATTTTCTTACCTGGTATACATTAAAATGGAAAATATTTTAAACCAAATAAATATTCCTGCCCCAAGGTTCTTGCTATATACCAATGCAATAAAATAGCTGAATGTATGTAAGTGATTTGAAGATGACACTCTCATGACAGGAAATGGCAGCAGGGAGACCTAGAAAAAATTTATACTGACCTCGCCACCATTCAACTCCTATTGGTAGGTATCACTCCAAAGGTGATATCACATAAAAGCTTTGTGATCTGTAGCTCAAGTTTCCATAGTGGGGCAAAATTCCTTTACCTCTAACCCAACCTCTCAGACATGTCTTCTCTTCACTTTTGCAAACCACTGACAGTTTCACCTGGGCAAAATGTACCCCAAATCCCTTTTGTTTTTTAAGACGGAGTCTTGCTCTGTCACCCAGGCTGGAGTTGAGTAGCACAATCTCATCTCACTGCAACCTCTGCCTCCCGGGTTCAAGCGACTCTCCTGCCTCAGCCTCCCAGGTAGCTGAGAGTATAGGCACTCACCACTATGCCCAGCTAATTTTTGTATTTTTAGTAGAGATGGGGTTTCACCATGTTGGCCAGGCTGGTCTTGAACTCCTGACCTCAGGTGATCCACCCACTTCAGCCTCCCAAAGTGCTGGGATTACAGGTGTGAGCCACATACCTGGCCTTTACCCCACATCTCCTCATTACAAATGATCAATTGTATAAAAGGATATGCTGGTTAGTTATGTTTTTCTTAAATTATGTAGCACTCAACTCCATTTATTTGCCATCTCCTACCTTCTCTGGTTTGACTTAATTTTTCCATAGAGGAAACCTTATTGGGATTCAAACGGTGCTTTTTGAATTTAATTTTAACAGATTTTGAACACTTAGCTTGTTTAAATGTTCTTGAAATCTAGGGATAGGAGAAGATTCGTTGTGAATTCTATAAACATCATCCATAATTTAGAAAATGTATAGAATTTATAGACATAAGTCTATAGTCCTCTGTTCCAAAAAAGTTGTTTGAAAAGGAAAAATTCAACTTAATCTTGCCTATTTATATGATGTGAGATGATTAGCATTTGCTTGATATTTTACCATGCTTTATGCCTGAATCTTGTAGACGTGTTCTAGGATAAAAGAAATAGCAAAGATTTCTTCCAAGAGCTCATCAGAGATCAACCCAGAAGTTGCTAGATGTTTTTTATTGCAGGAAATTAATAAGATCATAACTTTGCTATTGTGCAATCTGCCAAAAAACAGTGATCCCCATCCTAGTTTCATCATAGTTTTGGGGCAGGTCCCTAATTTTCTTGGCCCTTGGAGAGGCAGCTCTCATGACTGTCCAATCAAATAATTCTCTAAAATCATTAATGTATTTAAAAATACAATATCTACAAAGTGCTAGTGTCATTCTCTTTACCTAGTTGTTCTTTCCTGCTCCGTGCATGAACTTTATTCCTATTCATTCTTGAATATTTAGGGCAGATGTTAGTGCCTTCATGAAGCCCCTTGCCACCCTTTCTTTAAGGCTGGCATGATAGAATTCCCAGGATAATGTGACTCATTCTACTCAACCAGAATAAGTAGAATAAGTCACATTATCCTGGGAAATGTCTTCTTTTTTGAATAACACATTTGTTGAGATATAATCCACGTATCATAAATTTCATTCATTTAGAGAGTACAATTCAATAGAGTTTATATATTCATAACATTGAGGGTCAATCACTATCATTTAATTCTAGGCCTTTTTCATCACCCTGAAAGGAAACCTCATACCATTATCATTTACCGCCCACTCCCTCATCCCTCCACCTCCTAGCAACTACTAATTTAATTTTTATCTTTATAGATTTGCCCCTTTTGGACATATTCTAGAATGAAATAGAAACATGTGGGCTTTTATGTATGCCTTCTTTTACTTCTTTTACTACTGTTTTAAAGGGTCATCCATGCTGTAGGGTATCATTTCTCTTTATGAACAGATAACATTCCATTGTATAGATATACCACATTTTGCTTATTCATTCATCAGCTGATGGTCATTTGTGTAGTGTTTACTTGTTTTTGGTTATTATCAATAATGCTGCCACATATATTCATGAGGTCAAATCAAATAATTCTTTAAAATTTTTTGAGATTAATTCATTAAAAATATGTGCATGTTTTATATGGGCATACATTTTCAATTCTCTTATATATATATCTAGAAGTAAGATGGCTGGGTCATATGGCAACTTCATGTTTAACATTTTAAGAAACTACCAAACTGCTGTACAAAGTGGCTATACCATTTTACAATGCCATCAGCAATGGATGAAGGTTCTAATTTCTCCACATCCTTGACAACCCTTGTTATTCTCCATCTTTGTGACTTTAGTGAATCCAGTGATCATGAAGTGGTATTTCATTGATATAGTTTGAATGTTGTCCCTTCTAAATCTCATGTTGAATTGTAATCTCCAGTGTTTGAGATGGGGTCTGGTGGGAGGTGACTGGATCACTGGGGAAGATCACTCACGACTTGGTGCCATCCTCACCATAGTGAGTGAGTTCTCACAAGATCTGGTTGTTTAAAAGTGTGTGGCACCTCCCCCTACCTCTTGCTCCCACTGTCACCATGTGAGATACCTGCCTCCCTTTCACCATCAGCCATGACTGTAAGCTTCCTGAGGCCTTCCCAGAAGCCAAGCAAATGCTAGTGCCATGTTTGTACAGCATGCAGAACCATGAGCCAATTAATCTTCTTCTCATTACAAATTACCCAGTCTCAGGTATTTCCTTACAGCAATGCAAAGAATAGCCTAACACACCCAGTGTGGTTTCAATTTAATTTCCCTGATTAATAATGAGTCTCTCTACATAATTAATGATTCTGAGCATTTTTAAATATACACTGAAAGATTCTTAAGTGTGAGTCCCAAATATTATTTATTTTACCATCTCAAGAGCCAAATGCAAACTGAAATATAGTAGGGATATACTTACAGTAATAATTATAAAAAGAATGAATACATATTTAAATGATGAATTTTATGTGTCAAATAGACTGGGTTGAGAAATGCCCAGAGAACCGGTAAAGCGGTACTCTGGGTATGTCTGAGAGTGTGTTTCCAGAGGAGACTGGTGTGTGAATCAATCGGCTGAGTGAGGCAAGTCTGCCCTCAATGGGACACCATACAAATGGCTGGAGGCCTGGATAGAACAGCAAGGGCAATTTCTTCTCTTTTTCCTGGAGCTGAAATTCTCCTCTTTTCCTGTCCTTAGATAGCAGAACACCAGGCTCTCTGGCCTTTGCACTCCAGGCCTTATATCACAGCCCCCTGGATTCTCAGTCTTCCAGCCTCAGACTGAGTATTATGCCATTGGTTCTGAGGCTTCTGAGCTAGGACTGAGCTGCACTGTCAGAATCCCAAGGTTGCCAGCTTGCAGACACTGTCATGAGACTTCTCATCCTCCATAGTTGTGTGAGCCAATTATCCTAATAAATCCTGTGTATGTTTATCTATATAATCTGTCTATCTATCTATCTATCTATCTATCTATCTATCTATCTACTCATCCGTCTATTCTACTGGTTCTGTCTCTCTGAAGAACCCTGAAGAATACAGAATTTGGAACTAAGAAGTGAGGCTGTTACTATAACAAATACTGAACATGTGAAAGTGGCTTTGGAACTGGGTAATGGGTAGAAGCTGGAAGAATTTGGAGCAAGCTAGAAAAACTCCATATTACCATGGATGAAGCCTTAAGGACAATTCAGTGAGGGCTCAGAAGATGAGCTGTAGGAAGTACCTAAATCTTCTTAGGGATTACTTAAGTGGTTACAATTAGAATGTTGTTAGAAACACAAACAGTAAAGGCCATTGTGAAGAGGTCTTAGATAGAAATGAGGAATATCTGTGTGTGAGTGTGTGTGTGTGTGAGTGTGTGTGTGTGTGTGTGTATGTGTGTGTGTTATTAAGTGTATGCCCTTTAAGGTTTTTAATTGTGATTCTCCTTACATTTTACCCTTATTGGAATAGTTCTTGCATTTCTGCAAAGTCACAATAAGAAGATAACAGTAAATTTTAAAACAAAGGAAATAAGATAATCAAGTACTTCATGTACTTTCTTTTATTCTCTTAACTGGAACTTCAAGACCTGTGAAAAATTATATGAATGAAAATAGTGGCTTTGGGACTCAAGTTTGTCATAATTTGGGGGAAGTTTTGGTTTTTCTCCGTTGAAAGCTGTATTATTCAGAGTTAAAATATTATTACACATCAGCAATAAATTCAGGTAATACATGTCCACACATCTTGACCAGAAATTAGGAATATCTTATTGGAAACTGGAGTAATGGCCATCTATATTATAAATTGGCAAAGAACTTGGCTGAATTGTGTCTGTGTCTTAGGGCATTATGAAAGGTGGAATTGAGCAGTGAACTAGGATATTTAGTGGAAGAAATTTCTATGCAAAATATTGAAGGAGCTGCCTGGCTACTTTTAACTGCAAATATGGTAAGATGCAAGAGGAGAGAAATGCTTTAAAGATAAAATTTACATTTGAAAGGCAAGCAGAGCAGAGTTCTCAGCCTGGACTTGTAAAGAGTGAAGGCATCATTAGAACAAGGCCCAAACAACCCTCTGACAAAGGGATTAGCATGGCTAGAAGTAAGCCGGGTGCTATTCATCAATATAATAGGAGAAAGACCCCAAAGACATTTCAGAGATCTTCAACTCTGCTCCTCCCATGACTGGTCCAGAACAGGATCTTGAGGGCAGTGTTTCCAGAAAGGTGCCAGTGGGATATCAGCATTTGCTGCCCTTAAACGCCTCAAGTCTCTGCTTCTCTCATTCCAGCACAGCATCTCTTGGCCATCCCAGCTGTACCTCGATTGGGCCCAGCTGCAATTTGTGCTCCCACTCCAGAAGGTGTAAACAGTAGCCTTGGTGGTGTCCATGTGGTGCTAATTCTATAGCTGTTTTGTGCGTGTGTATGGTTTGTCCTAAGTAGCTAACATCTGTTATAAATATTCTCCTGAAGTAGCCCAAATACATTGATAGATATTATATATAAATGCAAAAATCTGAATTCTTTATAAGCACACTTCTTAAAACTAGCAAAATATCTGTTTTTTGATTGATAGTTTGCTTACCTATATTTTTCTCCTTAGAAATCACTTTCAGACAAGCAGCGTGCCAGGGGTCTTTATGGGAACAAAGTTTAACTCAAATTGTGCTGTGGCTGTGTTTCAGCCAGGCTGACTACAGAGCTAGAAAACTAAGATCTGGTGTTTGTGGAAGGCAAAGGCAGATATGCATCTTGCACAAAAGCCTGTCCCCTGAAATTAGAGATAGATGAGAGATATGGACTTATTTTTTAGGATATGTTCCTTCCTGGATGTCAGATGCCATTTGTCACACCACAGATTTTGCTGTCTATCAGGATCTAGGTAAAAAGGTATTTCAGAGCTTAAGGAGTTTCTCTCCATATAAGCATTTTATGCAAAGAAGCTGTCTCAATTTCTCTGAGAAGTTTAGAAAGTTGGAGAAAAGTACAACAGTGTGTGTACAATATTTGGTAGGTTAGTTTTGTAACTCAGCTACTTCCTAATGTTAGAATCTACATTAATTCATTTATTCTTTCAGGGTGATTTCAACAAAGCCATGTGTCCATGGTCTAAACGTGAAGCACATGGCTGTAAGCAGTTTTCACAGATGACAGATTTACAGCCAGTGAATAATTGAGGAACTGGGAGAATAAATGTATTAAAAGTTGCAGGTAAGAGCATAGTTTGACAATATGCTCTAAAAGGCTTAAAATAAACGGTATACCTAGTCATACAGGAAGTTCCGTGATAGGATATAACTTGAAGAAATAATTAGACAATTTTGCAAGGATTTATGAGCACAAATGTTCATTACAGAATTGTTTATGATGGAGAAAACCTTATAAATAATTTAACAGACCAGCAATGAGGGGTTGATTTGATAAATTATAATATAAACACATCTACATATGATGGAATACTACTCATACCCTAAAGGTAATCTTATAGAATACTATTTAATGGGTAGAAAATTTTCAAGATAAATTAATTAAAAATCAGATCATAAAAATATATGTAGCCTGCAATCCTCTTTTAAATGTATATATGTATATGTGTGTTTATGTTATCTGTATATATGCATATGTGTATGTATGTGTGTATATGTGGTGTAGTGTATATACATATACACATATACACACATACATACAGGAAAATACTGAACTCTGGCGATGTAACGAGTAGCTGTTTTGTGCTTTTTGTTTGGTATTTTCCACATTTTAGATGAATAATTTATTATTAAATGGCATATTACTTAAAAAACAAAACAGAAAACAGAATTCCTGGTGTCATACCACATATGGAGGAAGCCCAGGCCTTAGGTGACAATATTTTAAGTAGGACTGCTTTTACAGAGGTTTGATAAACATGATGGAAGGGATACACATGCATATGCACACACATAAGCGCACACACACACACACACACACAGTAAAGTACTTTTTGACGCCACCTTCAACTTTCACTGTCTGTCTTAATTGCTTAAGTCTTTTCAAATTGGAGTGACTAATGGGGAGTGTTAGAGAGAATTCCCCTTCATCAGTCTCAGGTCTCCCTGATGGGCAGCTCTGCCTGAGTAGAATTTCCTAGACTCAGTCACTGACCTTGCCCCTGCCCCAGAGAGAAGGAGTGACTTGTTTGCTGGTAACACTGGCTCTGCTCCTCCTGAGCTTTTCTCTCTCCTTGTGGAGGTCGCTGTTCTCAGGGCATTCTCAGTTTCTCTCTGAGGTGATCTTCCTGCAGTAGTCTGGGAGAGGCCTGTGGCTGTTCAGCTGTTTTGAAAGTGGGTAGGGAAAATTCTCAAATGCATTATATGGTGATAAAAAGCCACAATTCTATTCAGATCCTGAAATCCAGCTCTAATCAGTAATATATTTGATTTTTGAAATCTTCTCGTATTTACAGAAGTCCATTGTTTTTTTATATGCCACCACTGAACAATTGACATTTGAAATAAAAAAACACAATGGTGTTTATATTAGCATCAAAAATCCCCAAACAAACATAACCTAGGTATAAGTCTAACAAAATGCGTAGACGATCAATAGGAAGAAAACTAAAAACTTCTAATTAAAAAAAATCAAAGATCTAAATGGAGAGAGATTCCATATATGTGGATAAGAAAACTCGATATTGTCAAAATGTCAGTTCTTTTCAACTTGATCTAAAGATTCGATGTAATCCCAATCAAAATCCTAGCAAGTTATCTTGTGGATATTGACAAACTGATGGTTTTAAAGTTTATATGGAGAGGCAAAAAACTCAGAATAGCCAATGCAATATTGAAGGAGAAGAACAAAGTCAGAGCATTGACACCACCTGACTTCAAGCCTTACCCTAAAGCTACAGTCATCAAGACAGTGTGGTATTGGTGAAAGAATGGACAAGTAGATCAATGGAACAAAAGAGAGTCCCAAAATAGATACACACAAATATAGTCACCTTATCTTTGATAAAGAAACAAGGGCAATACAGTGGAGAGAGGGTAATCTTCTCAACAAATAGTGCTGGAACAACTGGACATCTACATACAAAAAATTAATCTACACACAAGACTTATGCCCTCCATAAAAATTAATCAAACACAGATCATAGACCTAAATGTGCACTGCAAATCTATAAAACTAGAAGATAACATAAGAGAAAATCTGGGTGACCTTGGGTGTGACAATGACTAAAAACTTAACACTGAAAGCAGAATCCATGAAAGAAAAAACTGATAAGTGGGGCTCCATTAAAATGAAAAAGTTTCTGCCAGGCGTGGTGGCTAACGCCTGTAATCCCAGCACTTTGGGAGGCCAAGGCGGGCACATCACGAGGTCAGGAGATCAAGACCATCCTGGCCAAGATGGTGAAACCCCGTTTCTACTAAAAATACAAAAATTAGCTGGGCATGGTGGCACATGCCTGTAATTCCAGCTACTCAGGAGGCTGAGGCAGGAGAATTGCTTGAACCTGGGAGGCAGGGGTTGCAGTGAGCCAAGAATGTGCCACTGCACTCTAGCCTGGATGACAGAGTGAAACTCCATCTAAAAATGAAAAAAAAAAAAAGAAAACGTTTCTGCTCTGTGAAAGACACTGTTAAGAACATTAGAAGACAAGCCACAGACTGGGAAAGAGAAAATATCTGCAAAATGCATAATTTGATAAAGAGCTGGTATCCAAAATATACCAAGAACTCTCAAAACTCAGTAATTGACAAACAACCCAATTAAAATCTATACCTGCCTGTGTCTTACCTCCATATGACAACTGGTTATTAACTTGGAACAGTAAGAAATGCGTATTGTTTATTCAACCTTCCCTCTGGCAACAACAACAAAAAGATCCTTGATGGAATAACTTTATGAATGAGATGTATAAAGAAGTTCTCAGGCAATTCATGGGTAACCTACAGGAAGTTGAAGCTTACTGAGATGTTTATTAGAGAGAGGTGGGACAGATTAGCAGGAATGTACTAATTTGTTCCTCCGGGGTAGTTATACCTCAATAAGTGCAGTTGTTATTCTTGATATTCTGCTAATTATCATTTTAGGGACAGTGTCTGGCTCTGTCACCAGGCTGGAGTGCAATGGCATGATCATAGTTCACTACAGCCTCAAACTCCTGGGCTCAAGCAATCCTCCTGCCTCAGTCTCCCAAGTAGATGGGACTGCAGGTATAGACCAGGTCTTGCTGTGTTGCCCAGTCTGGTCTCAAATTTTTGGCCTCAAGTGATCCTTCTGCCTCAGACTCCCAAAGCATTGGGATGATAGGCACGAGCCACTGAACCCAGCCAAATTAATATTTTTTAAGAGGTTAAATGCTTGTTCTATACATCACACAGGAAGGAAATGAGGAGCCAATATTAAATGAGGCCTGTTTGCCATCAAAACCTAGATGTTCTGAGCTGCATAGGCTAGAGGGAAAATTTGAATTCTTATTGTAAGGTTGATGCCAAAAGCGCTAGTCAGGTGAATGACTAATTTGAAAAACTATACAGTCAGCACTGGAAAATATTTCTTTTAAATAAATTGGGCGTCTGTCAATTGGAATCAGGAGTTCCAATTGTTCAAAGCAAGCCAACAAAGTATTTCTAAATGAGTTCTGCTGATCGTATTTTTGAATATATAAGAATCATTTTCAATTAGTACACTAATGATTAGTATGTGGAAGGACACTGCTAAAATATTCAAAAATTTCTTCCCATTGATGAGAACATCAGTCCCATGA